TTATAAGGTTGATAATGTTTAATTTTCCCATGCTTCATTTCATAAATTAACTTTTTATTATTAATCATATATTTAAAGTTATAAATTAATTTCTCAATTAATTAATAATGCTCACATATAAGAAGGTCTATATTGACAGCGCTCATAGAATTAGCGGTTCATCATCGAATTTCAAAGTTGAATTGCCGGAAACATTACAAACAGACAACGGAGTTCATTGCTACATTCATGAAGTAACATTACCTAACTCGTGGTATTCAATTCAGTCAGGATTAAATAATATATTATACTTTTATTCTTCTCCACTAGTTCCAGATGAAGATAACACAAATGTCCATTATTTAGCGTTACAATTGGACGAAGGAGTATATACTGGCACAGAACTAGCGACAGAATTAAAGTCAAAAATAAATGGTGTTGTAGATAATACTAATTTCTCAAATACTTATGAAGTTACTTACAGTGTGAAAACTAATAAAATAACAATTTATTCAAACTATGCCGATAGAAAGTTCGCTGTGTTAACTGATGAACAAATGAAACTAACATATGCAGATTATATATGGAATGGAACTTTTGATGCTAATAACTTGCAATCTGCTAATGAAGTTTTAGGAAATTACCAAATGGTAGTTTATCAATATAATAATCCTTATGTTTCTAGTTTCGTTAATCTTCAACCCATTAGAAATATTTATATTCATTCTTCTCAATTGTCTAATTATAATCAAGTAAATTTAAGAACCGGTGATAGCACAGTTGTTAAGAAAGTACCAGTCACAGCACCACACGCGGGAATTGTCTTTGATTCGGAATTAAACCCTCTGGATTACTTGGATGTATCAAATAGAAGCTTTAAACAATTAGATTTTTGGATTAGTAATTCATTAGGAAATGAAATTAATTTAAATGGGGTAAATGTATCCCTGTCATTATTGTTTGTGAAAAGCGATATTATTTAAATATATTCTTTAATTTTTCCATATAGAAAATATATAGAATATATTATATGTCAAGTATTGAGGTAGTAGATGTTAATAATGAAACTAAAACAGAAGAAGCACCTGTTAATAATGAAGTCGTTGAACAAAATGAAACAGTTAATGAAGAACCAACGCCAGAAGAAGTTAAACCTGAAGAAGTCATTCCTGAACCAAAAGCGAAAGCAAAAGCATTACCAAGAACTAAAAAAGAAGTTGAATTAGTAGAATGTGAACAATGCTCTAAAAAGATGACATTGAAAAGTTTGAGACACTCACATCCTAAAAATTGTAAAGGGGCAAAAACCGAGATGCTCCCAGTCAATCCACAAAAGAATATTAGAAAGATAAAACCAGAAGTAAAAGAAGAAATTAAGAATGAGATTAAACAAGAAGTGATTAAAGAAACTATTAAGAAACCCACGGCAACAGAACTATTAAGCCAACATTATGAAGAACTTAAACAAAAGAAAAAACAAGATAAACAAGAAAAAATAAACAAATTATCTTCATCAATGTTTTAAATAATAATCTAATTATAATATATATTAAATCATGCTTATGAGAAGTCATAGAAATGTAGAATTTAAAAGGGCGCCACAAGTAGAACGTCATTATAATGTTTCAGATTTATGGGGAGTTGCTTCAAGAATGAATTATTTTAAACAGTTGAAGGACACACTGGAAGCGAGACAATCACAGGGAGCATTAATAAAGTATAGAAATGATTTAGCTGAAAGCAACAGAACCGAAAGTTACAGAAAGGAATTAGACAGAATAAGAATCATATTAGACAACACACGGTCACCAGATGGAATACAAACGAAGGAACAACTAACTGTAAGAAAGAAGCATTTAGAAGAAATGATTAAGAATATATCTGATTAATTTATTTTTCTAAATAATTAATATTCAATTAGTAGATTGAATACAGTAGGACCGGTAAAAGTAGGTTCATTGAAATCACAATTACATTTGAGACCTTCTTATGATGAATTGTTAAAAGAAACGTTGGTAGGAGATGAGAACCGTCCATCAATTGAAAATGTGATAGACAGAAAAGCGACAAGATACAGATTAAACCAATACGGTAGTCAGTTTGATAATAAGGACGTCTTAGACATTCAAAAGAAACAAGAACTAGACCGGAGAGGAGAAGTTATGAAAGGAGCAATGTCGGACGATGGTAGTGTAAGAGCTAAACTTAATGATGAATTGAAACTTGCTGACACACTGAAACAACACCAGTCTTTCATTCAAGAAGGACTAACGGAAGCACAGAAACAGAAAGAAGAACTTGCAGAAAAAATGAGACTTTGGAGAGAACAACACGAAGAAATGGCAAGCGCTGTTTCAAAGAGTTCATATCCTGCCGGTGTAGAAGTTCATTCAATGGTGTCCGCTGATGAAATGCCGGAATTAGAACCATTAGAGGAAGGGGAAGAAGAAGATGAGCGAGAAGACGACTCAGTTGTTGAAGTAGAAGCAATGAAAAAAGGTAAAGATGATGACGATGACGCGCAAACAACCGTTACTAATGCTGAGATAATGGAAATGCATGAAAAAGCAATCGAGTTGGAATTACAAAATGTCGAAAACGAAGACGTTGATGACGAACGAATTTTCAAAAATTATTTAACTAGTATAAAGTGGTTGTGGCCGGTGTATTTATCGAAAAATCCGGGAACTATGATGGATAACATAATTTCAAAACTACATCAATTTAATGTAATAAATGCAGATAAATACGATGAGTTCAAAGAATTATTAGACGAATATAACAATGCAAGAACAACAGAAAGAAAAGGAATTCGTGCTCGGTTAGAAACATATTACAATGACAATGTTTATAACAAATACTTCAAACAGAAACCAAGTTCATCAACTCAACAATAAAAAATATATAATATTTAATATGACTGTTAAATATTATGGATTACGCCGACGCCCTACTTTTGAAGAAATGCTAAAGGAAGCGATGACGCACAGATTAAAAATTGAAATCATCCCCGAAAGACAGGTAATTGACTTGTCAATCAACAATATAGATTTTGACGATTTTGACCTTTCAAAATACGATAGGAGACTACGGTTGAATGCTAGGGTTCAAACTGATAAACAAGTTCTTCAACACGAATTGTTCCCTGATATGTTTGATGAAGTAGCGCCAACATCACAGTTATATGAAAACAACGAGGCAGACGCACAAACAACACGATATATAGCAAAAGATTTTACTGATGAAATTTATAGTAATGCAACTTCAGGACCAAAAGATGAACCAAAAGATGAACCAAAAGATGAAAAGCAGGAAGATTTACAAAGTCTTCATTTAACATCATCATCGTCATCAGCATCAACCGAAAAAGATAAGAAAGAGGAAAGCCGAGAAATAAAATCGTTAAGAAACATATTTTTAGGTGGAGAAGACAAGAGCGTATTTGAACTATTCAAACGTGACAAGAAGACATCCACACCATCAGAACAATCAAGGGAACAGGAAGAAGAACAACCAAGGGCATCATTCTGGTCAAGACGACAGGTAGAAGCAAGAAGCAGAAGCCACTCACCAGAAGAAAGAGCAAGAGGTAATCAAATGAACAGAAGACAATTAGAAACAAGAAGCAGGAGCAACTCACCCCAAGAAATAGCTAGAGGTAGTGAATGGACGAGGGAACAAATGGAAACAAGAAGCAGGAGTAGAAGCCCAGAAAGCACAAATACAAAAAGTAGCCGAGGCAAGAAGAAAAAATAAAAACTACTTAAAGACAAAACGCCCTAATATAGTAAAATGACAGGAATTTTTATTAACGGTAATAGTAAACAGAGAATAACGAATGACGAATTTGATATGATGGTTGAACTGATGAAAGCAGAAAACGACTTAGTCTTACAGATGATAAGCGAACAGAAACAGACTTCGAGCGATGACAGTGAGCAACCCGTGAGGTGGAGGGACGACCAGAAGAACTACCACCAGAATTACTACAACAAAAACCTAAAACAGTCTTACACTTGTGAGGACTGCGGAAGGACGATATCAAGCAAATCAAATTTATCTAAACACAAGAAATCTAAAATTTGTTCGCAAGCTTCGCGACAATGCACATTATGAAAAAATAATAATCATTCATCTTATTAAAAACACTTAATGAGATTAATGCGTTCATTCTCAACCCGAAACCCATTTTCTCCAACAGTCAACCCCAGCCCGAAAAACTACTTAAAGAGAAAATACCTTATATTATATAGAGTATAGTATTATGGTTACCATGTCAGAAAATAAAATCATAGATTTCATTTTAAACAGCCAACAAGGCGAACTAATACAAAAAGAAGGGAGGCAAACACCAAAACTCAAAATAGGTGATAAGACCTACAGATATGATAAGAACAAACCTGTTTCAAACGTATTGAACACGAAACTAAAGGAAGTGGCAAGGAGTGACGGATATAGAAAGCATGGCCTTTTAATGAAAGGTGCTGATTATCTAAAACTAACGAGAGGCAGACCCTTACAGGATTATGTCAAGCGATTCAAGTCCAAAATCACAGACGAGCAACAAGCGTTCAAGGGATACGCCAACACCTACTCGGTAAGTGATATAAGATTAAAGGGGTTGAAAGGTTTATCCTACTTAAAATACCAGAAGCAACGACTGGCCGAATTCCTGAACAGAAACCCGAACTTGAAAATAATCGTGGAAACTGATTTAGCATTCAAAAATCCCGACAACGAACTTATTCAAAGGAGGTTAAGAAGCAGAAAATACAATATTCATAATACCGATGAGTTGAACAACGTCTTAAACAACATTGGACATGACATTGAGACACAAATTGAAATAACCGAACACATTCAGTCGGGATTGGTTCTTGGTCAAGTTGAAAAGTTAGTCATCAGTTATGATAGGTACAATCCTACCCGTGGTTCATCATTCATTCCATTACCCGACTGGGTGGCAAACAAAAAGGCTTGTATTAACATTAAAAACGAGGATGACTTATGTTTTAAATATTCCGTTCAATGTGGATTTTATGAGTTATTCAAAAAAGACCATCCCTGCGACATGTATCATTATAAGAAATATGTTAACGATAGTTTCATCAAGTGGGATAATGTTAACTTTCCAGTAGGTAATGATGAAATAGAACAGTTTGAAGAAGATAATAAACACATATCCGTCAATGTTTATTACATCAACCCTGATACGAATAGTAAAACGGTTTTATTATACAAAAGAAGCAACAACCCACAAGCACAACGCAAAATCGATTTGATTAAATTGACTGATGATGTTAAATCCCATTACGCTTATATCAAAAATTATGATAAGTTAATGAGTAGTCAGACTAACAAGATGAAGGCGAAGAAGTATCACTGTAGAACCTGCTCACATGGTTTCAAGACCGAAGAACTTTTAAAGAAACACGAAGAACAGGGATGTCTAGCAGTTGAGGGTCAAAAAATAGAAATGCCAAAAGCAGGTGAAACAATAGCATTCAAAAACCATTTCAAGAAACTTAAAGCTCCATTCGTAATCTATGCCGACTTTGAATGTTTAACTGTGCCAATTGATGTTAAAAGCAAATCGGCAAAAGCTAAAACTACATCATATCAAAATCATCGTCCGTGTGGTTTTATGATTAATGTAGTCAATGCTATAACCGGAAGTAGTGAGCCTTACTTATATAGAGGTGAAGATTGTATGGATAAGTTTGTTGAAAAAATCAATGAAGTCAGAGAAGATATTATTAGTAGGATGAAGGAAGTAAAAGAGATAATCATGACTGAAAAGGACAAGGAAGATTTTGAAAATGCTACTACTTGCTTTATCTGTGGAAATGATTTTAAACCTGAGGACAAGAAGGTTCGAGACCATTGTCACTTTACTGGAGCTTACAGAGGATGCGCCCACGATGATTGTAATCTTGGTTTTAGTATGAGATATTATAAAATCCCTGTGTTTCTTCATAACCTTAAAAACTATGATGCCCACTTAATCATCAACAAAGCTCACGAACTGAACAAAAATTCTAAAATCGAATGTATCGCTCAGAACAGCGAAAAGTTTATAACCTTTGGTTTTAAAAATCTTTGTTTCAAGGACAGTTTCAGTTTCTTATCGTCTTCGTTGGATAAGTTGGTGAAGTTGAGTAAATATGAGGATGATAAAAAGCGTGAGAACTGGAAGAACAATTTCAGATACAGCGTTAGAAACCCGTATGTTAAAACCGATGAAGATTTGGATTTATTGACTGATAAGGGTATTTATCCCTATGACTACTTTGATGATTTTGAAAGATTTAAGGAAAGGGCTTTACCACCGAAAGAAGCGTTTTACAGTAAATTGAGTGAAGAACATGTAAGCGACAAGGATTACGAACGAGCCTTGAAGGTCTGGAAGCACTTCGGGATTAGGACGCTCGGGCAGTATCACGACTTGTATTTAAGAACTGATGTTTTACTACTGACCGATGTATTTGAAAACTTTAGAGACTTGTGTATGGAATACTACGGTTTAGACCCCGCTCATTATTATACGTTGCCAAATTTCGCATGGGGCGCGATGCTTCTAAAAACTGGTGTTGAAATAGAACAATTGCATGACCAAGAAATGTTTGAGATGGTTGAAAAGGGAATGAGAGGTGGTATGTGTCAGGTAAGTCATAAATTAGCAGTGGCAAATAATAAGTATATGGGGGAAGCATATGATGAGAACAAGCCATCAAATTATATTAGTTACTTGGATGCTAATAACTTGTATGGTTTGGCAATGTCCCAGAAGTTACCGCTAAAAAATATCAAGTGGGCAAAGAAAACTCCCATTGTTGAAAAATGGAATGAAAACGATGAGTTCGGTTATATTATGGAAGTTGATTTGGAATATCCCGAAACATTGCACGACTTCCACTCCGACTATCCACTAGCGCCTGAAATAATGAATGTAAATGTGAATATGCTTTCCGACTATCAAAAGCAAGTCTTCAAAATATATTATGATGGTAAAAGTCCCAAGGACGAGAAAACAAGTTAGTTAATATTAAATCTAAAGGATAAAGAAAAATATGTGGTTCATATCAAGACTTTACAGTATTATTTGAAAATGGGAATGAAAATGGGTAAAGTCCATAGGATAATAAAGTTTCAACAGAGGGCATGGTTGAAACCGTGGATTGATTTCAACACTGGTAAAAGGAAAGAAGCCAAAAGCGATTTTGAGAAAGATTTATTCAAATTAATGAATAACGCGGTGTACGGAAAAACTATGGAAGACAAGCGAAACCATATGGACTTTGAACTGGTGGATAATGAAGTTAGATATGAAAAATGCGTTAATAATCCAACTTTCAAAAATAGATTTATTATTAATGAAAATCTCGTCGGAGTTGAGAAAACTAAAGCAAAACTGAAACTGGATAAACCGATTTTCTTAGGAATGAGCATTTTAGATTTAAGCAAATTACATATGTATCAGTTTTACTATGATGTATTGAAAAAGAAGTATAATGAAAACATCAAATTGATATATACTGATACTGACAGTTATGTAATTCAAACAATGACTGATGATGTCTATAAGGATTTCAATGATATAAAGCAACACATGGATTTTAGCGACTATCCTGTTGAGCATCCATGTCATGACAAAACTAATAAAAAGGTCTTAGGAATGTTTAAGGACGAATGCTCTTCAAAGATAATTACCAAATTCATAGCTCTCAAACCAAAGTCATATGCTTTTACTATCCATGGCGAGGATGATGAACATAAAAAATCAAAAGGTGTAGTGAAACATAAGGTGAAGAAAGAACTGTCGTATCAAAACTATCACGAAGCATTATTTCAAAACAAAAATCATGAAATAACATATAATTTTATTCGTAGTCGCAACCATCAGTTATTCTCAATGTCTCAAGTTAAGCAATCTCTCAGTCATTTTGAAAATAAAAGACATTACTTAGATGCCTTTACTTCGTTGCCGTATGGACATTTCAGGATAAAATAAATTAAAGAAAAGATGATTAAAGATATTAGCAGATATGGAAAGATATAAGAACGGTAAGATTTACAAAATAGTTGATGTTGGTTATGAAAAGTGTTATGTAGGAAGCACGTGTGAGGAACTAAGCCAAAGGATGGCAAGACATAGGCAGAAATATTATTTCAATGAAAGGCACGGGCGAAACAAACATTCAAATTCTAGAGTGTTGTTTGACGAATACGGAGTTGAGAATTGTAAGATAGAACTCATTGAAAACTACCCGTGTGATAGTAAAGAGCAACTACTTAGACGAGAAGGTTATCATATCCAAAATACAGAATGTGTCAATCGTTGTGTGGCAGGTAGAACGCCACAAGAATACAAAGAAATGTATAACCCACTTAACCGAGAGAAAATAAAGAACGGAATGAAAGAATGGTATCAAAACAATAAAGAAGAACATAAACAACATAGGAAAGAGTATTACCAAATAAATAGAGAACAAATTATTGAACAAAACAAGCAGAATGTAGCATGCGAAGTGTGTGGAGCAGTAGGTCGCAAAAGTAAATTAAGCAGACATCAAAAGACTAAGACGTGTCAATCAAATAAGTCAAAGCATAATGTAGAAAAATAACATATTAATATCTAAATAGTTCTAATAATACATGCACTTATTAGAACTATTTAGTGGTACTTCTTCAGTTGGTAATGTAGCAAAGTCGCTCGGTTATACTGTTATATCATTGGATTTGAAAAATGCTGATATTAATTGTGATATACTTGAATGGGACTACAAACAGTTTGACAGAAACCATTTCAATTTTATTTGGGCATCCCCTCCATGCACTGAATACAGTAGGGATAAAACAACTGGGGTTAGAACAATAGATTATGCTAATAGTATCGTTTTAAAAACCCTGGAAATTATAGATTATTTCAAACCGACATACTGGATACTAGAAAATCCCCAAACAGGATTATTGAAGGAACAACCGTTTATGAATGGATTGAAATATTTTGATGTGGAGTCTTGTAAATATGGGTTTAATTACAGGAAACGGACTAGGCTCTGGACCAACATAACAACATGGACACCTAGACCATTATGTAAAAGGGATTGTGGGAAGGTTAGGAATGGGAAACATATTGAAACTGCTCAACGCTTACCACCAAAAACTAAGGCGGAATGGGGTGATAATCCTATCATTCATAAACAGGAAGACTTGTATAAAATACCTTCTGATTTAATTAGTGATATTTTCGGTTGTTTGCTGTCGGGGGGATGAAGCATTACAAGCAACCAGCATCACAAACAACAAGTATCATCAGAAACCAGCCATCGCAAGCGACCAGCATCATCACAAACCAGCATCACCAGCAAGGGAAAGAAAACAAACAGACAAACAAACAAAGAAACAAGCCCGAACACATTGCTATTTGTGCCCCTCAACGGGGCGCATCGTGCCCCTCGGCGGGGCGCATCGTGCCCCCGTGCCCCTCGGTGGGGCGCATCGTGCCCCTGTGCCCCTCGGTGGGGCGCATTGTGCCCCTCGGTGGGGCGGTGGGGCGCATCGTGCCCCTCGGTGGGGCGCATCGTGCAGTTAAAATGTTGGTGGCTGGTTGATTGGCTCATGAGTGGCAATGAACACACCTATCTTTTTAGAAACAAAGAGTTTAAGGTAAAACAAATTCTAGAAAGATTGTTAAGTGAATACACTAAAGAATTAATCAAAGAACACAAAGAATACTATGATGAAGACGGAATGAGAGAACATATTAGCAAGAATAATAAATCTTTAGTTTATTCATAATGTTTAATTATAATATGATTAAACATTGTTTTATAGTCTAACAAGAAGGTTAAGACATTTAAATTAAACCTGAAACCCAGACCAGCCGACCAGCAACCCCCTAGCCAAAACTACTTAAAGAAATATTATCTTATATATTAAGAGAAAAATGAACGGTGATGGAATCAATAATTATATCGATAAAACATGCTATGATTGTTGTCACTTCAAAAAAGAAAATATGGAATTGTTTAAATTGAATTTGCCTAATGAAATAGTGAATAATATTATTAATTATTCAATGGATGGTGAAGAAGACATATGTACAAATTGTAGAAATTGGAGAGATAATCAATTTTTAATCAAATGTCTGTTGGGAATAAAAAAAATACATAATAGAAATGTAGAAGATGAGATTTTAATATTTCTAACTGTAAATAAAATACCACCTTACGATTATATTAAACAGTTTCTTAAAATCAGTAAGAAAAATATGAAATGATTGATGATATATTATGGTGTTGGGTTATAGTCAAGAGAAAGGAGAAGATGTTAAAGAAAATATCAAATTATTTATTGAAAGTAAAAAGTTTAATGTTCAGAATACAGTGGGAGATGTTAATATTATTTTTAAAATGATGTATGAAAGAAGTAAGACAAACCAATTAGATTATTATCCTGAACTGAAATTATAATCATAATATAATAATAACATGTAAAATCTTATATGTTATAATTATACTGAACTTTTAACCTATAAATGAAAATTAGTGAGAAAAACACTAACAAAACAAATGCACCACCAACGCCTCAGAACTTGATAACTACTAAAAGGGCCAACTCTTTCAAATGAAAAAAATGTCGGCCCCCAGCCCAACAATGAACAAGGGGGGCAATTACCAAAATGATTACCTTAACGAAAACGATAAATAAGCTCCCTAAAAACCCTCTTTTAAAAACGAATAAGGTGGTTAATAGGTTTGAGATGAATATAAAAAACATAACAGGGGACCATCAACAGACCACCCCCCAGGCCCCCTACTTTCTCCATTTTTTCCCCCCCCCTCTTACCCCCCAAGAATCTTAGCAATTTTTTTCTAACGCAGGGGCCGCGCGCAGGGTGAAGAATTGCCTTCTCAAGATTCAAACACATTGTAAATTTAAAACGGGATGCGCGCTTCTCCGCCAGATACGGAAATTTGTTTGGCATTACTGGCATAGCGCTCGTTCACACTCCGACCCAACGCCTTGCCCTTCGTGCCATGGAGTGTGACGAAGACACCTTAGACGCCATCCACACCACATTAGCCAGAAGCTACTTGGACCTTGAGGTTATGCTGGACGAGTTCTCCACTGTCCTTCTGCGCATTAAGTTCTTCTGCCATGTCATCGCCATTTGCCTTGTTGCCCTGACCCTGATCGAGGGCATCCGCGCATTGTCATGCCTTGTGGATTCTGTACAGCACTGGGTGTCCTTTGCTTACCATGCCCTCGCATGATGCGGCACTACTCTGTGCCGAAAAAACACGGAGTGTCATCTGCGTATCTAACAACGCCATGCTTGCCAACTTTTGAGCCATCACTGTGAGACGCCTCCGCCAGGCCGGCGCAACAGGCCAGGACCTCAGCAGTTCCCAGCCCTTGGCGCTTGCCACAGTGTGCCTCGACACCATAGCCCTTTCGCTCAACACGCTGTGATGGCGCTTTCAGCCCACGAATTTCAGC